CAAGAACTTTTTTCAGGAGGTAGAGTAAGTTTATATTTTCTACATCATCATGTTCAATGAACTCATTTTTAAAGTTCTGGATAAGATCTTGACCATCATCGTTTGCAGAAAGAAGAGAGGATAACAGCTTGCGTCTGTATCTTTTGTGCAGACTAACCAAAACTCCTTGGTCCATTCGCTGCCATAACGCTTTGACATTGGGTGGTAAAAACATTACTCGTATGCAGGCCCGCGCCGACAATAGGTGCAAGGTCGTGCGCTGGGCAATCATTAAAACAAGCAATTCGTCTTGCTGCCTGTCTGAACAGAAAAATTCTAGTCTTATTTGAACATCCTTCCGGGGGACAACTCAGATAAAACCTGGGAAGCTACTGATTAGGATTTGTACCTAGGCTGTCTCGATCACGGGGTGTTTAAAATCAGTCTCCATAGGACTGGAGTCATCGCTGACAATGACTGTTTCAGGCTGGGCAGGGACCGTATGGTACTGTCTTGTCCATTCCGTTGGTTATGGTGGAGCTATATAGTCAGATATTCATAGTTGTCCGGGGGGAAACACCACCGTCGATGGAGTTGGCGAATTCAGCGAGCCTTTAAACTGCTTGAGGTTTCCAGTGGATAAAAACTGCATATTCATATCTTTCCTTGGTTTCTGCCTGGGGATGCCTAAAGCCAACGTCTGCATACGATGACGTAGTGTTAGCAGGCCGGATTGGTGGCCCGGTCTGTCTGACAGTGTTTAAGTGACTTCGTTCTGCTGTCCGGGGTTGGAGGCCTCTGTTGATGGCAGATGTTTTTACCATCCTTCCAGGACGGGTACGTGGAATGTGAGTTGCTGAGTATTCCTGTCGACTCAGTCTTAGCTTGTCGGCTGGATGGATAGGTTAGTGGCCTTTTGGATCGCCTCTAGGGGTTGGGGCGTTTAACTGTATTAAGGCAGCCTCGAGCTTGCCAGGTCTGAGTGCCTCTTCCTCCTAGCACACTGTCTTATTTGACCAAAAGTTATAACTAAGGCAGGAGTTCGTCTCTGGTGTTTTCTTCTGTCTTATTTGAACGTGAAAATACGCGATGCCGATGCGTATGGACGCATTCGACAAATTGCTTAATCCGTATTTTGTGTCTACTGTTGTAACTGTAGTAATTTGCGCAGCATTTACCTTTTTTGCAATTGCTTGTTGTTATTATTATTCTACCAAAAAAAAAAGGGGGGGATTAGTGCAGTTACATATTATGTTAAACTTAGGTTAACTTTTTTTCATCGGAAAAGCAACGATTTAAGCGTAATTACTCGAAAACTTTTTGCCTCCCGTGTTTGAACCATTGTCGTATTCTTCGCCGCGTAAATTACTAATATCTAAACCATTTTCCTCTAACGTCTTTAATAAGAACGTTGTTCAGCTTCCACCGGTCGTATCTGTTGTAAAGCAAAATACTAAAAACCTTTCTTCAATACTCATGTCTGTATTTTCTAAATTAAGTATTTTCTTAATATATGTTAATATATTAATATTAAGTTGTCTGTATTTTCTTAATTAAATACAAATTGATATCTGCTCTTGATGGCATCAGGGGTACAATCAAGTTAAATAGAAAAATGCTTTGCATGTTTGACCTTATTTAAAATAATTTGCTTTATGTTTTCTCCTAATAAGCTAATTGTTTTATTTTGAATTTTATATTCAAGGTAATGACGCATATTTTTTTAGTTTGAATTTTATTAATATATACAGGCATGATAAGGTGAAATAATTTCCATACACTTTTCTTTCTAATAATTTGTTACTGGAACCACGGAAGGCTAAGTTTTGTTTGGCTAAAAACTGAATAGCATAGATAATTCTTTCAATAACATCGCGCCAATGCTTAGTCTCTTTTTTAATAAAATTTGAAATTCTGAATTAACAGGTTTATCCTTTCGTAATCGTTCTAAGAAATCAGATTGACTCTTTCGTTGTTTGGCAAGATTCGACATGAGTACATATAAAAAAAATTACGTCCATTATTGTGTTTTGGGAAACTGAAACTCGAAATCAAGTTTGGGTAATATCCAGGACCCATTTTCTATTAAGGCTTGAAAACTTGAGATGGCAGTAATAGACTTGGGTGAATCCGGAATCATTAGGCACAGGCAAATGCTTATCTATTGCAGAAATTGTAGATTTCTAATAGTATTTTTTCGACCGGCTGCATTGAAGTTAAAGGTAATTCTCGAGTGAAAACGCTTTCTATACTCTTTCTGATTATTAGGTGTTGGTGTATTTAATTATGGCAAAGCACACTAGGGCTATCTGCCTAAGGGAAGGGATGCTTTCGTGGAAGACTTTCTAAGGGAAACTGGCTCGTATACACGTTACACATGGGGAAAACCACGAAAACGCCCATGCACCCAGCCCGTTCGCGGGATTCGAACCTTGGTCTGAACTACCAGTGTTCAGCGACTTTACCGCTTGGCCGCTGGTGGGCCCTGATTATTAGGTTCTTTTGGTAATTTCAATGATTGCTGAGACGTTGATGGACTACTAGTGCTAGTAGCGTCAACTTGGGTGTTCTTTGGGTTTTGGAAAAACTAAGTAATTTTAAATTTCTGCTTTATTTTAAGTCTTCCTCTCACTTTTTTTTCTTCTTATAACATTCTGATACTGAAACAGTTTTTTCCGATTGTCTTCCGACATCTAGGGGAAAATGAAAACAGAAAAGTGGAAGTAAAAATAAAAGCAGAAAATAACTATTATAAGAACTATTGCGTAAAACACTTCTTAAAAATATTCGGAAAGTCACTGTTTGAAATAATTTACCTTTCTTCTGAAAAAGTGAATATATCTTAAACCATTGTTTGGAAAATATATGAATACCAAATAATTCAAGGAGGGGATGATACTCTTTTTTTATTAAAGTGAATAAATCAAATTTAAAGACTAATGAAAATAACGAAACAATTTCCTTCGGTTTTCTGTATAGCTAAAAATCGGAAAATGGCGGATTTTTGATTTCAGAATACTTTGTATATTTTTACTTGACTCCAAATCTCAAATAGGTAGATTGAAATTCAGTAGTACTCCGTAAATATGTCAATCCTTTCTTCTTGAAAGATAATAATTTTTAGTTTAAGAAACAAATGGTTCATGGGGGAAAAAAAAAATCGAGTAATTATGCTCCAATCGCCGCTTTTCTGAATTAAAAAGCTAACTAGGTTTGACATAATATGTAACTCTGCACGTACCTTTTTTTTTTTTTTTTTTTTTTTTACGTAGAATAACAATAACAACAAGCAATCAAAAAAAAAAAAAAAAAAAAAAAAAAAAAATAAATGTTGCCTAAATTACTACGTTTGCAACAGTAGAACAAAATAAGGACTCAGCAATTTGTCGAACGCGTCTACGCGCGCCTGTACCCTTACATACGCATCGGCATCATGTATTTTCGTTCACATATATTTACAAGATCAGCTCAACCTATGTCAAAACCTGTAAAAAGCATTAACTTTAAAAATGTTATGCAAAAAGCATTAACATTAAAATCAAAGTGATATAAATAGTATAGATCTTATGCATAGACTGCAGATTTTGCAAACTTTGGAAAAAAATGTTTCGCCAGTTGAAACTCTAAGCTATATCGTTGTGAACAACATAGCGGTGTGCAGAAAAGAATTTTGGATATAGTCCTAGACATCAGCCCTAGAACATCTTTTCTGCCCTGTTGTAATCACAGTTTGAACCTTGTCGTAGACTACGCTGCGAACTACAATTTATTTAATGCAAACTTATTATATATGTATATTAATTTGTTTTTAATTTTAAGATAATAAATAGTGTTCAGCAATATATTTGGTATGCGAATACGTTTAGTATATTATTTCGCTTCGCTTGCAGTTTTACTTGTTAACTAATGCACACTTGTCTGGCCTATAGTCAGCCCAAGCCCACGAAATTCCTCGTAGCAAGGAGCCCAAGATACGCCTGTCGTTGACAACAGCCTTGAGCACCTTACAAATGACTGCGATTTAGCTCAATTTCGCCCCCAATTTGGATGGAGAGCACCCTGGGGAGACGGGTCAGAGCGTCTCTCACCCCTCTTCCCCTAGCACCAACTTTTCAAGAAGACTTTCGCCTCGCCTCTTTAAAGTGCCCCCATGCCGCACGGACACTGTACATTTACAAATATCCATGTCTTCTCCTGGATTCGAACCCGAGGCCTTCGGCACGGCAGTCAGCAATGCTAACCACTGTACCGGTTGGGCGGCTTTTTATAACATAAATGAATGTATAATTCTTTAATGAATATCTTTGAGTGTGGTAATAATGCTTCATTTTAAATGTTAATCATAAGCACCGTCCCTTTAATATCGTCACTCCATAAAGGCGCTCGCGAGACATTTGCACGACGGCGCCGATTAGGCTTGGCGCGGGCCTGCTCATATGTCCCCATTTTTTAACTCTTCAATATCTGAGTGCGAAGACGCGTTGTCCAAAAACAGAATAGGCTTCCTTGGCAAATTATTAGATTTTATAAACCGCTCAACTGATGGAATAAATACTTTATGGAACTATTGTTTGAGAATTGCACAGCTCCTCCAGGCATTTAAATACCAAATTTAGATAATGGAAAGTTTGTCCCATCTCAGTGTGCTTAGTACGTGTTTTCTTTGATTTTCCTATGACACCAAGTTTTAATTTGTGGTCATCTGTTGCATTACTGCATGTTGTTACCCTCTCCTTGCGCCTTTTGAAAGCAAGGGCTGACTCATCTTCCTTGAAAGCAAGATTTTTCGCTGGTAACAGTTTATAATTTAAGCCTGTTTCATCACAACTATACAATTTCTCTGCAGTCAAACCTTCAACTTCGATAAATTTCTGAGAGCTTTCCTTGAACTGAGACATACCCTCCGTATACCCAGATAGTTTTTCCCCACAAATGCTAAGCTGTCCGTATCGTTTCTTCCAGCGATCAAGCCAGCCAGCGCTTGCGACAAATTTGGGATCGTTTTCTTTCTTTAATTCTTCTTAAAATTTCAAGGCCTTCTGTTGCAAGATTTGCCCACTAACTGGCGTGCTCTTCTCTCTTGCTTGGCGAAACCAAATGTAGAGCACTTCATTTACCTCATTAAACTCACTTTCTTTCATACTTTTTCTTTCTTTCAATGTTTCTGTGCACATTCTCTTAACACGCCACAATTTAATTTCCATTCGCTTCTTCTTCCAGTGTCCAATCATACCTTTGTCGACTCCTAAGTCCTCCGCCACTGCACTGACACTTTCTTCCTTCTCCAGTCTCTTTAATGCCCACAACTTATGCTCCATAGACAAGTTCACTTGTTTTCTTTTAACGGAAGATCCCATCGCAGAGTACTGTCCAACACCCACAAACTTTGAAACAGCTCTGAACAACACAGTACAGAATTACGCAAAGCGAGTAAGAAATCGACTAATCGTGGCGAAGGCTCAGGTAGACAGAACGCGCGCCGTCACCAATCACGTGGTGGAGGCGTGGGAGTGTGATGCTACACAAAAAAAACCAGGGAGAAGGAGATTCATGCACGCGGGCAATGACTTTGAATGTGTCTACTCTCGGGGTTTTTTTCGACCTTCCAGGGTGTGGCGGAGTTATCCAGACTGCCTGGTGATCGAGTACTGAGTTTCCGGGACTCTATACAGTTTTAAATATTTTCCGATGATCGGATATAAGCATGCTTTCTTTTTTTACACGCTGAATGTGATGTGTCCACGTAAAGCTGCTATTAAGAATGATTCCTAAATATCGAGCTTGTTTAACAATCGGAACAGTTTCATTAAAGAGGTGTAGATTATTTTTAATAACGATGTTACGTTTCATGCGTCTGATGAGAAGTCGGTGGAATTTTTGTGCATTAATACACATTTTCTATTGTTTGCACCATTCCTCAATAACTGGGATGTGATCTTAGCGTTTCTTGATAGCAAAATTAATGTTAGTTGAGTTTACCGCCAACGCCAACGCGGTGTCAGCATAACATTAGTTAAATATGTAATAACCCAATAAAAGTTTTTAGTATCGCAGTAAGGCACCTCCGGCAATAAAGAGGTGCTTTCCTTAGTGGGGCAGTTCTTTAGTTCGTCAGAGAAAGACCCGCCAGAAGCCGGTTCCGGATCAGATCCTTTTCCATGTTCCGCTTTCCCGTCTTCCAGTCCTGTTCCGGTCCTGATCCAGTCCTTTCCAGTTCCAGTTGAAGTTTAGCGGAATTAACGTAGGAGGGGTGCGAAAACTGACTAGATTGAGATATATGCCGAAGGAAAGCTAGGGCTAAGGTTCTGTCTTTAAGGGAAGTGTTCTTCACCGTGGGCCGGCATAGCTGTTTTAAAAACACCTTTGAACCAAATGTTAAGTTTTCGTTTAAGTTTTTCGTTTATGATGTTAAGTTTTTCATCAGTGTTGAAGTTCCAGTTAAATAAACCTTTTAGACAAGGTTTTTGCGTTCTTCAGAAAATTTTAGATTCGAAGTCAGATATATCACATAGGATTTAACGGAAAAATCAACACATGCTAACATAAAGTTGTTATTACTTAGAATCTTGGAAAAGTCTATTACATAAAAAAAAGATAGAGAATGGGCCCGTTAATGAATCCTAATGTAGGCTAGCTTTCATAGTTCTGTCTATAGAGAATGCATCAGCAACAGATTCTTTGAAAATCCTGTTAGAAATAAATGAATGAGTAAGCAGTGAATAAACAGGATAAGCTCACGAGTAAAGTCAAGATCAATCAGCTTTGAGATCAGTCCTTCATGCCAGACATGGTCGAATGCTATCGCCACATCTAGTATGAGGATAGTAACATTCAATTTAGTGTATAGGAGCTACGCCAGAAAATTTCGTGATTCTAACAAATTGCTCTGTAGTAGACAATTTTTCGCGGAACCCGAACTGCTTAAAGAGAAGCAGGGTTAAATAAGATTTCATTTTGTAGAGGATTACTCCTTGAAAAATTTTACTAAATCCTGGTAACGAACGAAGAGGCGGGAGACCATCGGGTTGAGAGTGACTTTTGCCTGTTTTCGGGTTGAGTATAATTCTATCCAGTTTCCATTGGGATAGAAAGTAGGAAGCAGTTAAGCAAGCATTCATTATACTTGTGATATTGCAGATAGTGTTTTTTTTTGGAAGATTTCATAGTGCAGAGTTCGAAATTCGATCAATCCCGGGAGCTTTCTTCTTGCGGAGATTCTTAATAATACCAGTTATTTCGGCAGAAGAAGCCAGTTTAATGAGATTGCATGTAGTTTGGGAGTTTAACTAATCTCGTACTCGGATGAGTGTATTTAGTTGGAATTCCATATTAACCGGCCAATCATTATGCATAAACTGCTATGCAAGACGTGATGCAAAAATATTAGATTTTTCTTCATTAGAAATCGCAACTTTATTAGTATAATAAAAAAATCGCAACTTTATTATTATAGTAAAGAAATTGCAACTTTATTATTATAGTAAAGTAACTTTATTATTATAGTAAAGAGGTATATTATTAGCGTAGGGAGATTTTAAATTTATGATTAGAGACCAAAAGGAGCCATCTTTGGTATCTGAATTGATCCTTTTTTTATTCCTAAAGCTGTTCTTCATAATCCTTAATTAAATTTTAATTTATTTGTTAAGCCGTCGCGGGATTCCAAGTGAGGTAATAATTTTTTCTGAGACGATTACGCTGTCTCATTAAATTTTTAACGTTAGCAGACAGTCTGTAGATTTTCGATAGGTTTCTGTTGGTATCTCTAGCTTCGGTGATGGCATGTTTAATAGTAAATTCATTGCACGGATTATACCACTCTTGGAATTGAGTTCACTACATTTTAAAGTCAGCTTTTTCAGCAAATTTTCGAACAGGATCCAGTCCGTGATAATTTTGATACGAGTGTATTGGAATTCCCAGTGTCACAATAACTGGCAGGTGATCCGACGTCATCTCATGACTCACTTCTAGAGTAGCAGGTAAGGTGGTGGTGGAGAGCACGATATCCAAAATATCCGAGTGCTCGAGTCTGCCAGGACGATGAGTGTACTCATTAGATGCGTGAATGCAGACAAGACGATTAATAATGATGTACGATTTTACTGTTTGCGGTTGCTGCATTTTTTGCAGTTCCACGCAACGTGTTTAGTATTTAGATCTCTTGCCACAGTTGTGGGAATGTCCGGAGGGAGAACATCATCCAGTATATTGTTGCACAGTCTGTTCTGAGGAGGATTCTATATAGCACGAAAATGAATATTTTGAAACGCAGGAAGCGTGACAAAAACGTTTATCATTTCACAGTTTTGCAGATGATCTTTACGGATGAGACAGAAGTGGAGATTACTTTTTACATAAATCATTACACCGCCACCTCAGTCGCTTCTACGGTCTGATCATTCCAATGTTTGTGTCATGCTTTGAAATGAAGTGCTGTCGTTCGTGAATTTTCAAGGAGCCCGCAGGCATTGCAGATGACTAAACGGATCAGCTTATGGGTTCCTGAGGTGTAGATATACCGTCTTCTTTATGCTGTTTGAACATGAGGGATAGGCCGGAGTCCCGGATGGTTGAAACAAGCATCTTTAGCTCATTTAGGACTAGCTTAGCTTCGTGACAGATTCAGGGGCTAAGCCGGTGGCCCCTGAATTCTGCCCGAAGTAATTGTGGCGGGAGAAATTATGTCTGTTTAGCATGTCCTGAAGTTGTTTCCATTGGTACTGGTTGTCTCTGACGTTGATCGGGCGGGGGTATAGTTTGTCCAGAAGGGCCAGAAGCATCCTCATTGGCTGGAGGTACGGTGTCGGAATTGGAGGTTATATTCATTGCTTTCAGAAACTGCGTGGGCTCACTATTCAAGCTCTTCTACTCAAATTCAACTGAAAAGTGGCCTTCTTTGCACTGTTATCATTCTGTTCTCTTAAAAATCACATCGTGCCCGCAGAACTAATTTCTGCCTTGGGTATTTCCTTGCGTTTTCACAAACTTTACTACTTTTTTCTACGGCGTCGTATGCTATTGAGTCTCTTAATCTCTAAAATCGTTTCCTTTCCCTTTTTCTTTTATGTTTTTATTTATGTTATAAAAATTTAAAGTACCAAAAAAATTCTTTTAATTAAAAACACAATAGATATATATATATATAAACCAAAACAAATTACAAAAAATCAAGACTTATGATTTTTTCCTATACCTAAACTCTCTCGAGCTTATAGGCTGCCTCTAACTTGCATCAAACTATCTAGTTATGCAATTTTCCTGTTTCTGCTCACTGCTTACATGTTTTTTATGATGTGGAGGTACATGGTTTAGAACCATAAGTACTACAAAACACTTGATTATTGGCATTAGAACTGTGTGGGCTCTTAGTCAACAGAATCCTACCATGTCAAATATCAATGATAAGAAAACTCGAACTGAATTCTCACCGCAATGACCACACTAAATTCCTACCGCTCCCTAGAGCAGCTAAAACCCAACACTAGGAGTCAGAATAAAAACTAACATCTCATCTACTTTTGAGGACTTTTTTTCAGGTCATTAGTGACTTAAACAAAATCTTTAGTGAATTCTTCATTTTTTATGTAATTAAAACAATCACAAATCGTTTGAATGAAATTAGCACTGCACCTAACCTTATAGACAAAATTTTTCTCTTCTTTAATATATTAGAGAGTTGTAGTGGAAATTTGTCTAGCATAAATGGAAGCTAAACTTTTTACATTTTCGACTCTTTATGAACCGTCTTTCAATATGCATATAATTTAAATTCTGTCATGGAACTTTGACTATTCGGCTATTAACCTGTGATGTAATTTTATCTTTATCATGTTTAAATTTTATATTATGTGCCCTATGTTTTCGCAGCTGCCTTATTTTTCTCATGTTTGTCACGTGTCACAAGCTCGATATTTTTACTTACTACTGAATATTCATGTTTACCTTACGGACTTGTGAATTTTGTGACTTTTATGAAATTTTTCGCCACTTTTATGGACTTTTGCATAAACCCTAGAACTATTAATTTTGTATTTATGTTGACATATTCGAAATAACCATTTTTAATGTTCATTGCACTCAGGTACTCTGGTGATACACCATTCTACTAAGGAATTGCGTGGGCAGGCGGATGAGATAATTTTTCATTCAGCGAATCATCAGGGTGAGGAAGAGCAGAATTTCTGTCTGGTTTTCGTGATCTTCGGCTGACATCACCTCCCGGACGGTGTCCGAGTCTGAGCTTTTGTCTAATAATATATATTTTGTAATGTCGTCATCAGACCGAGCAGGACTTTTAGCTTTTCTTGTATTAGCTTTATTAGATTGCAGAAAAGAGAAATCATCAATGTTGACA